AAACAAAACAAAAAACATAAATATGACAACGATACGTAGTCAATAACCTACAGCACCCACGCGGCCCCCTCCCGCCACAACGCACCACGAACACAACCTACCACACTATCTGGGTCACCCCTTCCCCCCCGCCCCCCCGCAGCGCTCGGCGGCTCCTCAAACTCGCCCTCTTGCATCGCGCGACAGAGGGGACATTAGACATTAGCCAAACCACTACACCGGTCGCTGACAGTCCTCAGGAACTAGCCACCCCTTCCCAAAATCAGGTCCCCCAAACTCCAGCTAGCCCTCAACCTCTGTGCTCCGGGACAACTTTGCAAAGCGCCTGGACACCTGTCCCCACCCCTAAAATGACCTTTTCACACAGCAGCTCCTCCGGCTCTTCCGCGGCCCCACACCTGTTTTCTTCCTGGCCTCAGCTTTGTACCTGGTCAGGATCTGTTTTGTTTCCTCTGAGGCCCAGAAAATAGCTGGATGGAATGAATGAATGAGTGGACCCGACAGCTTGGGCAGGGGGTGGTCCCATGGGTGGGTAAGGGCAGGGAGGCTGAGCAGGGACAAGTGACAGCCTTGGGCTGGTGACTCCTGTCCCCTCCTCTCGAGAGCCTGTTCTTTGTTCCAGCCGGATGGGGACACCCCAAGGAAGGCCTGGTTGTGGTGGCAGTGCCCAGTGCTGTGATGGTTGAGAAGGGGAGGCCTGGGGAACACCCATCCCCTGCCATGTTCACAGGGCACCAGGAATGGGGTTGTGGTGACTCTAAAGGGGTCATTCCCTGCGTGCAACATCCCTCCTGCATCCCCCCCATTTACCCAGCACTCCCACCAGGTCTCCCATCTCCCCTCAGCTGTTCCCACCTCCAGGCCTTTGCACTGGCTCTCCCCCGGCCTGGGCTGCCAGGAGCTCTTTCTAAACTACTGATGAAGCCAACCACACCTCCCTTGGGGTCTGGCACACATCCTTGCACCACATTCATTGTCCCGGCCCACATACGGGTCCCTGCCCCACAACAAGCATTCATATCATGCCCACAGGCTGACCCTGGATACACAGGCTGCTGTAAGGGCCGTGCAACATCTGACACTTTCTAAATTCAAGTCCAACATGTAACCATCCAGAAACTTACAAAAGCACCAGCCACCCCCACCCCCACCAGAGGCCTCTCCAGGCCTCCCCTGGAAAAACCCTTTTTCTCCTTTGAGCTCACCTGTGCGGAGGGATCAGGGACTCCCTTCAAGGGGCTGAACTTAGGATGGTCAACCTGGTGACTGATCACGTCCTGCCCAAGTCTGCCTGCTGCCTGCTTGGACCTCACCTCTCAAAGACAGGGCTGGTGGCAGACAGGAGTTGGGGGGATGGATGGTGGTCGGGCAATAGGTGGGGTCCACCTGGGTCTCCTTTCCAGACAGAGCCCCTCAGCCCATGGCTGGCCAGGAGGGACTGGAGTATGGCTGGGTGTCCCAGGACCCATTCCCCCAGGAAATGGCCTACAGACGGGGCAAGGGAGAGGCTGGTGGCTGAATAGGAAGCCTCGCCTCCAGGATGTAGGTACAGGAGAGCTGGGAGAAGCTCATAGGAGCTGAGGGACCCAGAAGGAGCCGCCTGAACAGGGATGGCCTGGCCACCCCCCAAAGCTCCCAGCTGTGCACCCACAGAAATCTCAGCCCTATCCTAGGTCTAACCGATGGCTACCTGGACAGAGGTGAGGCTGGATGCTGAGTCCCCTGTGAGTAGGGTGGGATGGAAGAGTGGGAAAGGTATTCACTCACTCATTCATTTACTCACATATCCACCAAGCCCCTTCTCTGACTGGTGCTGGGGACATCTAGTCTGAGATAGATACAAACCTGCCCATCTTGGAGCTGAAGTTCTAGAAGAGGGGAACAATCCTCTCCAAATTAAGAACCAATAAGAATTCTAGATAAAAGTATTGGGAAAAGGATGGGGAGACTTTAACTGGGGTGATCAGGAGAAGCCTCTCGGAAGAGGGAGCATTCAAATGGGCCCAGGAGCTGCACTGGACGAGCTGAGAGAAGGGTGCACCTGGCAGAGGCCACATCAAGGGCATAGGCCCTGAGGTAGGACCAAGGGCATTTGGGAGACCAGCAGGGTTAGAGGAAAGAGGCAAACAGGGTGGAGCAAGTCAGGGAGTGGGGGTAGGGGTCACACCAGCAGGGCTGTGTGTGGGGGGACTCTGAGCAGAGCAAAAGTCATGGAGGGTTAAGCCCCCTAGGGTCCTGGAAATTGTTGGGGCAGGATGGAGAACAGGGGCAAGCTTCCTGGAGGGCTTATTCCTAGGGTCTCCAAATTCAGAGACTTGGAGAAGCTTCCTTTGTTCTATCAGCATATATTGAGCACCTTCTGTATGCAAGGCTTATACCCTGAAATGGGGATACTGTGGTGACAAAAGCACACAAAAAAACCAAACTTATGGTTTCAGGCCAGTGGGCGAGATAAAATCTTGATAAATAAATAAATACAGCCCTGGCCTGTGTATATCAGTGGTTAGAGCGTGGGCCCCCGCACACTGAAGGGTCGCAGGTTCAATTCCTGGTCAAGGGCACGTACCTGCGTTGTGGGTTCGCTCCCCGCCCTGGGTCAGGGCACTGCAGAGGCAACCAGTTGATGTGTCTCTCTCACATCAATGTTTCTCTCGTTCTCTCTTTCTCTCTCCCTCCCTCCCTTCCTCCCTTCCACTGTCTTTGAAAAGCAATGAAAAAAAATATCCTCAGGTGAGGATTATAAATAAATAAATAAATACAGGGTGGGTGAGGGGGTCAATGGGGAGGAAAGGGGGACATCTGTAATACTTTCAACAATAAAGATAAGTTTTAAATAAATAAATAAATAAATAAATAAATACAGCTGATTCCTGCAGAAGATACACGGAGGAAATGAGGCGAAGGAGGGGTGGGAAGGAGCTGCACCTGGCACCCCCTGGTTCTCCCCACTGGGCAGTCCACCGGGCCCTCCGTCCCTGCTCTGGAGGAGGAGGTGAGAACCTGGGGGTGACAGGAAGGCGGGAAACCACCTCTGCCATAAGCACAGAGTCCCCTCAAAGCTGCCGAGGTCCAGGAGCCCCCCGCCGTACCCATGGGCCCTGCCCTGAGCTGCCTTGTCCATTCAGGAAAAGAAAGAGCAAAGAGCGGCTCCCTAAGGGCTGTCTCCAGGGACTGAGGCCACAGAAACCTGGTGGTGAAGATCTGGTAGGGAGTCAGGCCTTGCCAACCTGGGTCAGCTTCCTCCTTCCGCTGTGTGACACCGGGTAGGTCACCCAACCTCTCTGCACAGGCTCCACCACGAGTGATCAGAGAAAGTGGACCGTGATGCTCAGGGGGGCTCTAGAGAACATAGTCATCATCATCATCATCATTAATTATACTGTTACTATTATGTCAAAGGTTGGCACTTTTTCTTAAGTCATCAGTTTTTCTGTCCAATCTCTGGGCCACCCCCACCCCCAAAGGGATCCACTCACCCTGGGGTGTAGGGATCTTCCGGACGAGCCACCACCAAAGGGACTGTCTCCTTCAGTCCTGCTGGGTTACCGCTTGGCTGGTGGGGGGCTGTGGCTGCCTTTCTTTCCCCCTTGACATAGGGGTAGGGCGGAGGCAGGGCCCCAGAAGGACGGGGTGCAAACACCTCCCAGGCGGCAATGGTCTTTACAGCAGATATGAGGTCTGGATCACCTTGAAAGTTTTAAGGAAACTTCAGATTGGTGGCATAGTCCATCCAGTGTAGCCCTGTTTCCTTCCTCAGGCTCCTCAGTGAGTCCCTCCATATACCCACCTCATGCCCGGCCACCTCCCTGGAGGCCCCACCTTCTTCCACTGGACACTGCACTCTTAAGGCTCTATCTGACTTCCCCCATATTGTTCCCTGTCCTCCCCCGCCCCCAATTCCTTTCTCACAAGGAGTCTGAGTGGGTAAGGTTGGAGCAGGCTGGTATGAGGATGAAAGCATCAGGCATCAATGGCTCAAGCAGCTCTGTTCTTGGCTACCCCCAAATTCCGCCCCTGTCCACTGCTGTCCTGGGCCTGTAGCTCCCTCATGGTATTCCCTCTGTCTATACAGGATGGTCTGCAGAATTCCCATAGGAGCACACAGTGCCCATTCTGGAGGAGGAGGAAGAAAGGAAGACCGAGCAGCCCCATGGTGGGAGGAGTGGGAGGGCACAGCCAGACCTCAGAATGAGGCTGAAAGGGAAACACAGTTGGCTGTGGATGTTCCAGCTGCCCTTTCTCGAATCAGGGGTCTGGGGTGGGGCCAGTGGCCACCTACATGGCTCAGGGGCTGCTGCCTGTTCCCACCAGGTGCACCCCGGAGCTGACTCTGACCCGGGGGGGTCAGGGGGCCAGGATCATCCACTGGGCAGGTGCATCAGAATAAGTGTTATTCCACCAGCTCATGATGCTCTGGCCCACCCATCAGGAAGATGCCCCCCAGGGATTTCCTTTGAGGTTGGGCAGCCTGAGGATGGGCTGGAGATATTGGGGCGGAGGGATTAGAAACCTGTGAGCCTGGAGGAGGAAGCCAAGCAGGGCAGTCCTGCCTGAGGCTCCAGCGGGGCAGAGAGACTGGGGGAGAGAGGAACCCTCCACCTCCCAGTTCTGGGGTCCCCAGAAAGCTCCTCACACCTGCAGTGAAATGCAGGGAGCAGAAAACCCTAATGCTGATACCAGACTGGGTTCTGGGGTTAGTGAGTCAGCCACAGTCCCAGCTCAGCCCCTGCTCGTCTGGGTGACCTTGGGTAAGCACTAACGGGTCTGCCCACGAAGGTGTTGGGAAGGGGGAGCGGAGCAGGGAAGAGAGCTGAGCGGCAGCTCCGAAGCACAAAAGGCTGGCAGGTGCGTGCGTGTGGGGGAGTTCCCATGCACTCAGCCCTAGGCGGGGAATCCCGCCTCACTGAGAGCGATGACTGGGGGTGAGGGGCTGGAGGGGGGATAAGGCCAGTCCTTCCCTCTCCTTCTCCCCCACTGAGGGCTGCCGAGGAGGTCCTCAAGTCCTTACCTTCACCGGGGGGCGGGATGTCTCTGCGCCCCAAACTGCAGTAGCAGGAGCCCCCTCCTCACAGGGGTGTGGGGTTTGGAGCTGACTCGGGGCTGGGTGTTGGGGGGTATGGAAGGGGTTTCTCTCCCTCCCGCAGCTCCCCCTTTGAGTTCCCCGAGCTGGGCACGCCCCTCCCACCAATACGCCCCTCACTGGAAAGAGGAGCTCTGCGGGGACCTCCACCCGGGACCCCGGGACACCCCGCCGCACTGTCGACTCACTGTCTGGAGACCGCCGGCCGCTGCAGCTGCAGCCGGAGCCCCGCGCCTGGCCGGAGCTCGAAGGCAAGTGCCAGGCAGGGCAAGGGCGTGAGAGCCAGAGGGTGTGAGCGCGCCGCCGCAGAGCGCCCCCTCCCCGTGGTCCGGGCCCCACCCCACCGCCCCGGCTGGGAAGGGCCGCTGCCTGACCGCCCTCCCTCCCACGTTGCTTTGTTGGGGATCCCCCTCTGGGTCTCCAGCAAGCTCCCTCCCCTCACGAGCGCGCCTGCCAACCTCAGAGAACGGCTCCAAGAGCTGGAGGGACCCTCTGCCGCCTCAGAGCGCTCATTTCACAGATGGGGACCGAGATCCTGAGAGGGGGTGTCCCTGACCAGGGCCCAGCACCCCAGCAGCAGAGTACCGCTGTCCCCCTACCTCTGGGGGTTGCTTTCCTGTGTCAGAAAAGAACTGGAGCCAAAGAGCTAGAGGAAAGCAATTAAGCACCCCCACACCCTGAGCGGGCTCTGGGGCCTGGGGGGGGGGTCCAGTGGGAACCCCGAGGCCTCGCGGACAGCTGGTGATGTTGCCCAGGCTGGAAGGTCCCGGTGAACGTGGGGGCACCCTGATGGCCAGAAAACAAACCACGGAAACTTCTCTACGCCATTGTTGGCCATGAAGTCTCCCCCTCACTATTGGGGTACCCCGCTGAGCGTGAGTGACAGAGGCCTGGGCAGCAGATTGTGAAGGTCACTCTGCCAAATTAGAACAATGCGGCTGCCCTGTTTTGGGTCGCGAAGGGCTGAGCACCTGCGGTGACCTTGGTCCTGCCCAGGCTGCCTGAGCCTGCTTCACTTCAGCACCTGGACAGCGCCCACTTCGGGGGTCCTTTCTGCTCTGGGGAGTCCGTGAGGGTGCCTGCTACGTTTTGCTGTTCCCCTCCAGCTCCTCACCCTCATGAAACGTGGTGTCCTCCAGATCAGAATTCTCCCCCACGCCACCCCCTGCCCCACCCAACCTGTCTCTAATCCCCACCCACCTTCCGCCTGGGCCTGGAGAGAGGGGGGGTTCCTCTTGGGAGCCAGAGGGCTGCTTCTACAAGCCTCCGTCCTTTGTTGTTGTTGTGATTTCCCCCTTTTCTTTCATTCATTCTAAAAATAGCCCTCTCCTTTCAAGCTCCCCCCCACACCCTACCCCCAACTGGTCGGGAGCCAGGTCCTGAGGCTGGGATTCCAAGGCCAGGATTTCTTGGTGAAGGAGGGGCTGAAGGACTGGAACCTGGGGTGGGGTGTGGGGTGGGGAGGGGAGGGCGGGCATTGGGAGCGCATTCCCTCCCATTGTGTGAGTGAGACACGCTCAGAGGGCACTGCCAGCGTGACCGTGACCATGTACAGGGAAAGAGAACAAAGAAGAGAACAAAGTGGGGGTTTGGGGTCTATATTGAGGAGACAGAAAGGGAGAGAGAGCTGACAGTACCTCAGGTACCCCTGCCAGCAGCTCCATGGGGGTGACTCACCACTCCTGGGGGTAGGCTGAGGCCCATGCCTTGGTCAGACACCGTGATGGACAGACGGGAGTCAGCAGTCTCAGAACGCACATCATTGGGAAAGGTTCCCTACCCTTGAATCCTCACAGATTGCCCTTTGGAGCCCCCAGAAGGCCCCTCCCAGTCCTGCAGCTTGTCTCCACTGTCTCCCCAGTCCCTTCTCCATGTCTCAGCCACAGAATTCTATTCTCACCCAGGTGACTGATCCAGTCCCTACCTACCCTAATAAGTTACACTCTCCTGCTTGAAACCAAGAGAAGGACCCTGGATCACCGCCCCCTCAAAGTCCCACATAGTCTGGCTCTCCCTCCCCTTTGTCCAACCCCTCTAGCTGTCTCCCTGGACCATACATTATGCTCTGGCCATGCCCAGCATCTATCCTAACCAGCCCAGCCTCAGGACCTTTGCATCTGCTGTTCCTTCTGCTAGAATTGCCCTTCCCTGGCTCTCCTCACCCACTATTATCTTTCAGAGCCTGATCCAACGTCACCTCCTATCTAGAGTCATCCCTTCTCTGGGAATATCACCCTAGTTCAGTGATGGTGAACCTTTTGAGCTCGGCGTGTCAGCATTTTGAAAAACCCTAACTTAACTCTGGTGCCCTGTCACATATAGAAATTTTTTGATATTTGCAACCATAGTAAAACAAAGATTTATATTTTTAATATTTATTTTATATATTTAAATGCCATTTAACAAAGAAAAATAAACCCAAAAAATGAGTTCGCGTGTCACCTCTGACACGCGTGTCATAGGTTCGCCATCACTGCCCTAGCTTATTGTCCTCAACCCCTGGTATGGTCTATTCACTTATTCACCTTCCTCCCCCAGAAGAATGTGGGTCCCAGTGCAATTGGGCCTGGCCGATGAGAAGAGGGGGTCACTCTGAGCCAGCGCCACCTCAGAAGCTACCCAGCTCCAAATAAAGGGACAGCACTACTCAGCTCGACACCCTGGAAAGCATCCCTAGGACATGCAAAAAAGGTACAGGTCCTGCTTCTGCAGGCGCATTGCCTAGGACAGCGACACTGAAAACATGTGTTCCTCACCTGGACCCACTTAGCCTGTTTCCAGAATAACATGCAGCTGGGGACAGTGATCCATAGGGACCAAGCTCCCGAACTGTGAAGTAGAAGCCAGGCCAGAGGAGCAATTGTTGAAGTGTCCCCATGGCAAATAAGTCTGACGAGCAAAGATGAGAATGGGGGGTGGAGGGAGGCCCTGGGGACAGCCCAGGGCCAGAGGCCCTCAGGGGCTGACCGGTCCCATTATTAGTTTTTCCATAAAGCTTTATTATCTTACATTTTTTAAACCAAAGGGAAAGATAGAAGGAAAATTGCTTTGTTGAAGGGTATAAAGGTTCAGAGAGGGTATCCCCCTTTGGGACAGAAAACACTCTCAAATGTTTTTCAAGCACCTTCTATATGCTATGTGCCCACAGATTGATGGTGAGCCTGGCCGGTGGGGATTCCTGGGTAGCAGGCAGAGAGTAGGGAGGTTACAGGAGGCGATGGCTGTTAGGATGAGCTGGGACATTTTGCCCCAGCAGGGCCAGGCCCAAGGCAGAGGGTTTGGGTTGGGGGAAGAGAGAAGGCCCTTGAAGGTGCCTGTTAGTGCCACACCTTTGTGAAATTCACTACCTGGCCACGACTCCACCTCAGGCTGGTGTTGGAATCCAGGAGGCTGGGAGAGGGCATAGGGAATGGGCTGGGGGTGGGACCGGCGTGCAGGGCTGTAGGGAACCAGGGAGGTGAGAGACAAAGACATCATCTGTTCCCGCGGCTTTCAGAAAGACTCAA